AGAAGGGTCCCAACCTGAAACATCAACTTTCCTGCTCCTCTGATGCTACCTGGCCTGCTGTGTTCCTCCAGCTCCAAACTGTGTTAGCTCTGACTCCAGCATCTGCAGTTCTTCCTATCTCTAGGATTAGAGACAGTATGTTTAGTATTAAAGGTTATTGTAACTTTGCTCCTAATAAAGTTGGGACTGTTTTGCATCGGTACTGGCTTGTGTTCGTATTGATTTGACCACTTCGATATTGTGGGACACCTGGGAAAATTCATTCATAACATTCTGGTCAGAGATGTCTAACTTGTTTAAGGAGGAACGAAACAACATTTCTATCTGCAGATTCTAAATTTAAGTAACTCCCTTTAAAGGCAAGAGAAATAAATATGCTGAACTGTTAATGGCTAAAACCAGAGAATAATAGCAGAAATATTCAAAGATAATTTTGGTATAACACAAAACCAGAACACACCATATTAAGGCATGATCCTCAATTTTGTGGTTAAGCAATCATAGTTAAAACAAAAGAACACAAGGATTAGCAGAGGGAGTAGGCCTATTCGGCTCTTCAAACCTGCTTTGCCATTTGATAAGATCATTATTAAGAGAAAGAGGAATATATAAAGAAAAAGTAGTAAGAAATAATATGGATCCGTTAAAGACTGATGGAGGTGAGACTATAATGGATAATAATGATACAGCAGATTTTCTAACTGAATAATTTGTATCCAATTTCACACAGGGAAGAAGCAGAAAAATATCACCAATACAAGGGAACAAATATTTGTAAAAGGAGGAAATTAATTGGGGCCAAACATTTTTTTTCTGTACTTGGAGTGCCATGCAGAATACATCATTTCTGTACGGATAGACAGCACCATCGGTTGCTACCTTTACGGGAACCTGTGTGGACTGCAGAAGTAGCAGTCTGAGATGTTAGCTGCTCTGGTCGATTCTACAAGGGGCATGCTGTACCCCTTTGAAGTGATGCTACACGAACAAATCTTTGGCCTACTGGACTTCAACCTCACAACAACTTTACAGATATTCAAACATTTGGATGGATACACGAATAGGAAAGTTTTGGAGGGATCTGGCCCAGGAGCAGGCAGGTGGGACTAGTGTAGTTTGGGATTACGTTCAGCATGGACTGGTTGGACTGAAGTATCTGTTTCCGTATTGTATGACTCTATGCCTCTCTATGACTCTGTGAAGGGTCATCCTGATTTCATTTTGAAATTTATTGTTCATTTGGCACCATTGTACTTGGGCTTTTTCCAGTAAACCTCTGCATTCATGCATTGTGGTCTTCTTTAGTTAACGTCTTTTCATGAGACCCTTAAACAAACTACTCACCTATTTCTTAACACAAATTCATCACACTCATCTTCAACACCATTCTGTTTCTGGAGCTTTCTTTTACTGACCTTGAACCACTCAGGACTCTTTTTCTCTTGCCTTGATTGTTCTGAAGACTGATGAACTGCACTGCTGTGCTTACAGGTTTCTCTCGTCTGAATGACTAGCCTCTATCTGAAAGAAACCTACACACTAACTGCACACATGGATAATTCCTCTCTTTTACTCATTTTGTAAAAGCACGGGACTGTTCACCTCCAGGGCCTTTCAAAAAGCCTAATTTAAATGCATGTAAAATGCATTTCTAAACATTCACATGACCCTCACAAAATTCAAAAATGAACCTCAGTCCTGCCTTTCCCTAGATATCAAACTTCTAACAATGTATGATTCTGTTCAATTTAGGACTCCAGCTTCAAAATAATAACAGTAATTAAAACCTTCATCACATTAGCTCTACACATCAACACCAAAATTTTAATACAACAAAATGAGGTAGCCCTATGGGTTAAAACAAAAACTAACAGTTTTAATTCCTCAAAATTGATGAAAAATGACTGATTTTAGCAGCTCTAACTTCGACCAATCAATGGCCATTTGCAAAAATTCTATTCTCCAACTTAATTTGCTGAAGTCTGCTGTACTGCAGTCAACAGTTAGGAATCTTATATTTCATCTTTATTTTCAGGCATCCGACATCTGTTATGAATGGTGCATTATACTTTACAAATACTTAATAAAATACTAAAATAGTGAAAAGCCATAATCGTGAAAGCCTTTATTCTATACCACAACACATATCGTAGCCATTTTACCTTATGGTCATATGGAGTATAGGACTGAAATAGCTGGGACAGCATCCTTGTTCTCTGTTTTTTCTGAAAAGAAAGAAATGGCCAATATTTAGAAACACAGAAACATAGAAAATAGGAGTAGGGATAGGCCAGTCAGCCCTTTGAGCCTGCACCACCATTCAATATGATCATGCAATTTCAGTTTCCCACTCCCACTTTCCATACCGTTTGATCACTTTAGCTGCAAGGGCCACGTCCAGCTCCCTCTTGAACATACATAACGAAGTGGCCCCAACAGCTTTCTGTGCTAGAGAATTCCACAGGTACACAACTCGAGTGAAGAAATTCTTCCTCATCTCAGTCCTGAATGGTTTACCCTTTATTCTTAGATTGTGACCCTTAGTTCTGGACTTGCACAACATTGGGAAAATTCTTCCCACACCTAGCCTATCCAGTCCGATAAGGATTTTATTTTTTCTACAAGATACCCCCTCATTCTTCTAGATTCCAATGAGTACAAGCGCAGTCAATCCAGTCTTTCTTCATATGTCAGTCCTGCCATCCCAGGAATCAGCCTCGTGAACCTTTGCTGGACTCCCCCAACAGCAAGAATGTCCTTCCTAAGACATAGGAGACCAAAACTCCACATAATACTCAAGATATGGCCTCACCAAGGCCTTGTAAAAGCAGCAAAACATCCTTACTCCCATACTCAAATCCTCTCACTATGAAGGCCAGCATGACATTAGCTTTCCTCACCGCAAGCTGCACCTGCATGCCAACCTTCAGTGACTGTTGCACCATGACACCCAGGTCTTGTTGCACCTCACCGTCTCCTTAACTTTCACCATTCAGATGATAATCTGTCTACCTGTTTTTGCCACCAAAGTGGTAAACCTCACATTTATCCACACTATATTGCATTTGCCAAGTATTTGCCCATTCAGCCAGCCTGTCCAAGTCACCCTGCACCCTCTTAGCATCCTCCTCACAGCACACACTACCACCTAGCTTAGTGTCATCTGCAAATTTGGAGATATTGTGTTCAATGCCTTCGTCCAAAAACATTAATGTATACTGTTAACAGCTGGGGTCCTAGCACTGAACCCTACAGTACCCCACTTGTCACTGCTTGCCACTAAAAGGACTCAATTATTCCAGCTCTCTGCTTCCTGTCTGCCAACCAGTTCTCTATCCATGTCAATACATTACCTCTGATACCATGAGCTTTGGTTTTGGTTCTAACCTCTTGTGTGGGACCTTGTCAAAAGCCTTTTGGAAGTCCAGATTCACAACATCCACTGATTCGACCTTGTCCACTCTCCCAGTCACATCCTTAAAAAATTACAGAAGATTTGCCAAGAATGATTTCCCTTTAGTGAGTCCATGCTGATTTGGACTGATACTGTCACTGCTTTCTAAATGTTCAGTTATTACATCCTTAATGGGGGAGGCAATGGCCTAGTGGTATTATTGCTGGACTGTTAATCCAGAGACCCAGATAATGTTCTGGGGACTTGGGTTCAAATCCCGCCACGGCAGATGGTGGAATTTGAATTCACTAAATACCTGGAATTAACAACCTAATGATGACCATGAATCCATTGTCGATTGTTGGAAAAACCCATCTGATTCACTAATGTCCTTTATGGAAGGAAACTGCCATCCTTACCTGGTCTGGCCTACATGTGATTCCAGACCCACAGCAATGTGGTTGACTCTTAACTGACCTCTGGGCAATTAGGGATGGGCAATAAATGCTGCCTGGTCAGCAACGCCCTCATCCCTTGAATGAATAAAGAAAAAAAAATTATCTTCAGCATTTTGCCCACCTCTGATGTCAGGCTAATCAGCCTATAATTCCCCGTTTTCACTCTCCCTCCTTTTTTAAAAGGTGAGGTTACATTAGCTACCCTCCAGTCCAATGGAATTCTTCCAGAGTCTACAGAATGCAGGAAAATGATCACCAATGCATTCAGTACTTCGAGGGTCACTTCCTTAAATACACTGCAGAGCATCAGCCCCTGGGAACCTTATCGGATCTTAATCCCATCAATTTCCCCAGTACCATTTGCTGACTAATAAGGATTTCCTTCAATTCCTCCTTCATACATGACCCTCTGTGCCCTAGCTCTTCCGGAAGGTTACTTCTGCCCTCCTTAGTGAAGATAGATCCAAAGTATTCATTCAAATGATTTGCCATCTCTTTGTTGTTCACTATGAATTCACCTGATTCTAACTGTAAGGGAACCACATTTGTCTTCACCAGTCCTTTTCTCTTCACATATCTATCTATAGAAGCTTTTGCAGTCAGTTTTTATGTTTTCCGCAAGCTTACTCTCGTATTCTATTGTCCTCTTCTGAATAAAACCGTTTGTCCTCCTTTGCTGAATTTTAAATTTCTCCCTGTCCTCAGGTTTGCTGCTTTTTCTGATCAATTTATATGCCTCCTCCTTGGCTTTAACACTAACCCTGATTTTCCTTGTCAGCCATGGTTGAACCATCATCCCCGTTTTAAACTTATGCCAGGCAGGGAAGTACAATTGTTAAGTTCATCCATGTGTTCTTTAAATGTTTGCCATTGTCTATCCACCGATAACCCCTTAAGTATCCTTGGCCGCTTATCCCAGCCAGTGCATGCCTCACACCATCAAGGTTAGCTTTGATGGTATTTAAAAACCATCCAACTAAACAATAGCACACCAGTGAAAGTAATATATAATTTCTACATTTCATTTTCAACAATTCATGCACTCTTGTTGATAAGGAAAAAATAATTCCTCAAATCCTTCAATAATGGTACAATGCTTAAATCTCTCCAATGAAGCTTTGTCTCTGCTATCGTACCAAAATGGCTCTCATAAAAGTCACATCCTTTATAAAAAACATAAGTCACTCATCCTTCTTGACCAAGAGCTTTTGCAGTTTTTGATTACCCACACTATCCTTCTTGGGGCTGGCTATGGCTGAAAGCAGCATGAAATGGCCAAAAGTGATTATCAGTTGACATAAAATGATTGAGAGGATTTTCAGCTGAAATAGTAGCTTGTTTAGTGTAGTATGTATTGAAGTAAGCCACAAATTAGGATATTTGTAGCTTTGTAAATATATCCAATTTTACAAGATAAAGACAGTAAACACCCTAAAATGAAAAATATTAATCAAAGTATAGATTGATACATGCAGTAAAGCATCAAGCAAATTTAAAAGAAAAATGGCTTTTTTATTATGCATGCACAGAATGAAAATAATTGGGAAGTGAGCATTTATAAGTGGATTGGTGGCATCAGCAAAGATTTGCAAAAAGTAATGCAAGCAACAGCATTAGCAGCCTATAACTCAGCACTGAAAACCTCGTACAATAAAAAGCAAACTGCAGAGACTGGCAGCTGGTAAGTCAGTGCTGAATTCAGTGCATACACAAGCAACATAAACTATTAAAAGACTGGCAGCCGCCAAGTAAGGAAAGTGACTTGAGAGCTAAGAAAGTAAGCTAAGAGACCTAAGATGCATCCTTTGCAGATGCATGTTAGCCCTGCATGCAATGTGAATGGCAGAAGTATGCAAGTCATAGGTGTACCCAGCTCCAAAGTAAAGCATTGAAAGGCTGCAGCACTAAGCATGTCGGTCAGACAGCAGGCATAAGGATGTTGGTTTGTCGATGCTGACTTGCCTAATTGGATGGTCAAGGAGGATGGTGAGGAAGGAAAACAGTTTCCATGGAGCATGTAGGGACATTACTGTGGATGGGAATTTGTGCCATCTAGTTTCTTGGGGATGGAGAGAATTCGAAGTGGCAAATAAATGAGAGTTGGAATATTAATGAGATACAAATGCACGGTAATAAAGTCACTGCTCAATGGCGAGATTCTAAAGTCAAATTTAAGCTTCAAGGGGAATACTGCAAAAATTTTTCATGATGTTGAGATTCTAGTTTTCTCATTCTCTCCATATTTTACCAACTTTTCGCCACTGCTCATGCCACAACAAGGAGAAAATTCCAACTTTAGTTTTTCTGTAAAAACTTCTAAGTTCCAACACTCCTCACTTGGCTTATTTGAGAAAGCAAAATAATATTTACTGAGGAAAGACAAAGTAAGATGTGCCCTTTTTCTCATTTTCTGACTGAATAAAACATTTCTCAGAATTAATTTACTTTTTGTCATGAGGGTCTGAACTTGCCCACCATGTTTGAGGGTCTCCAAATCAAATTAACAAGTGATCTAGATAGGCAGAATTTAGGTTTTAACAATTGTGAATACACACTTATTACTTTGAAAAACTACTCCTGCATGTTAACAATACTATATTCCAGACTGTATGCAACAATCCCACATTCAACAGTTTAGTAGCACTTTATGACATATTATTGAATTAGATGTCGGGCTATTTGGTTACCATAAGAAAAAATGCTGTGCCTAAATATACTGGAGTTTAAAATTCCATCTTATGGAACAGTGGTAAAATTAAATCTTCTACAGACAACTTTAAAATGCTGACATTGATTCTTCAACAGTAAGTGAAAAATAAACTCAAATTTGCAGCCAAAACATGCAAACCCAGGAGTCTCTCATCTCGGAGATAAATCATTCCCAAATTGTAAATATATATTGCAGTAAAATGGCAGGATTTGCTATATGCCATTGATTCTGGCTTCGAAAAATGAACAGCTGTTGTAGAAGTTCTGCCGTAGAAGTGAAAGCAAAATTAACACATTCTCTCTTTTTTGAACATTTATATTTAGTTTTAAATTTTCAAATCCTTCCTTCCATTTTTTAAAAACAGGAGCTTCACTTGCAAATTATTGCTTTATTGTCCAGAATAGCACAATTAAAAAGGAAATATGCTGTCAATTAACACATTCTTAGTACATTATCATTTATTAAAAAAAAACACATGCACTGAACCACTCAAAAAGCATCTGTTTATGCCTGTAGTTTCAAAGTAAGTTTACTTTTTGAAAACTTGGAGCATGAGTTTTGCACAGATAAAATAAAGTCAAAAGTAGCTATGAGTGCACTGCAGCTCTGTTCTTTTATGCAATAGGTTTGTGCACACGATCTGGTTAGCTGAAATGTCACTGT